AAACAGAACGCAAAATTGTAATCGTGCATGATTTCATTGGATTTGGTGAATACGACGGTTCTAAGACATGTTATCGTTACTCTGTTACTCAAGCAATAACGGTAGGTATCATGAAAATGGGGGAAACACTGGAAAATTCTCGCAATACACGCTTTAAGCTGGGACGTGATGGCTTCCCCCCATGCGGCAGCCAACCATCGTACATCCCCTCTGCCGTGCCTTACACGCAGCGGTGGTTGCCGTCATTATTGCAGTTAAATATGTGTGGGCGTGTGCCTGACAGCGCGTGTGCCTGCGAGCGCGTGCATGCGTGTGTATGTGTGCGTGCCTGAGAGCGTGCGCGCGTGCCTGAGAGCGTGAGTGCGTGCTTGAGAGTGCGTGTGGGCTAATGTGCGCGCGCACGTTTGGGTGTGTGGATGGGGGGGGGGTATCTATAACTCGCCCTCGGGGACTAGGCTGGGGCTGTTTAATAAGAACCTGCGTGCCGTAACCTGTTCCGCGTTAAATTTCTTACGCGATGAAACTTCGTCATACCGAGATTGCGTGTTTATTTCGTTATATCGCGTTTTCACATATTGTCTGTCGACGACAATGCGGTTTTCTACTTCTCTGTGAATGGGAACGCATTACGGCCGCATATACCTTCGCTCTCAAATCTCATGAGATGAGTGAATGCGGCGTGAGTGAATGAACGCGTGGCTACACGTGTAAAGGTAACCCGGTATATGCAGCGACACGGTGAAACGAAACCCCCGGGGGTTCAACCGCTAGTGCTTATCAATATATATGTGTGCGTGTGTGTGTGTGTGCGTGCGTGCGTGCGTGCGTGCGTGCGCGCGCGTGCATGTATGTATACACAATATATAAGTATGTATGTTATATTTATTCGGTTATAAATGCATCAAATGCTACGTGGGATGTCTACTGTGGGTATCTACAAACATCAATATGTACAACAAAATGTTGGTCAATTTAATAACGATATAAAACAACTAACAAAAAATCCGACGTAAAATGTCAATTTATGAGTTGTTGTTTTTAATCAACCCAAATCTCAAGGCCAAGTTAATTCTACTGCTATAACCTTTTCGTATAAAGCATGACATTTAGATTACACCAAGATTACAGCATAAGGTCGAAACATTCACGGTGTTTTTTTTTAAACTCGGTCAATATCTTCATATATGAACAACATCATGCACCGTTGACGGCACGGCTTCAGCGGCTCACTCTCCTGCTTCCTCACTGAGTGCCTCAGCCTCCCTGCATGTCATCCTCCCCTCCTCACTCACTGCCTCAGCCTCCCTGCA